AGAATAAACTTTGTGGGAATTATCCAATTCAACAAACTCTAGAAGATTGGAAAATAAAACATTTTACTAAACAAGTATTCAGATGCAAACCTTAGATCTCCTTTTTACTCCTCGTATTTCCTAGCAAGACGATGTCACTCTTAAAGTTCGACTGATTTTTTGATACTTTTAGCTAGATGAATGAATTGGGGTAATAAAAGAGGGGAATGGGACTCTTAATGGAAATATAATTAAAGTTTCGATGTTTTAGTTACTGTTTCTTTTAACAGGTGTCTAAAAGTTCTCTGACGTGCATTCATTTGGCAGGGAGTCTGACTTACCTTTTTTATTACATCTAATTTTTGAAAAGGGTTTGTCGAATTTGTTAAAATGTTTGCTGAGGTGCTAACTATGAGTATAGGACTATGCCTAACCAGCAGATACTGTCAAGGGGCTGGTGCAATTCAAGGGGGTCGGCTTCGTGCGACAACCAATTGTGGTTAGACTGTAGTTAATTTTTATAGTAAGGTTAGTTTTTTTAATACTGTAGATAAAAACGTTAAAGAAAAGTTAGTGCTACACTTCTTAAAATGTTGGTTATCTATCTTAAAGTAAGTGAATAACACTTTGCACTATTTATTGTTAATAGAAAGCTAACAAATATGATTACTGCTTTAGATAATTTTTTCTTATATAAAGTTGTTATAAACTATATTTTTTAACTCTTTTACTTTGTTATTGTAGATTCTTTTAGGCCTAATCCAATAGGACATGAAAAAGTATATTTATAGGAAAATTTCTAATTTCTGATGCATGCATCTTCAGACATTAAAACTTTCTATGTTTCAATTGGTTTCCTTATTTATAGTTCACAAGGAATTTATTTATAAAAAAGATGAAATATGACCATAGAGGTTATTACAGATCACAGTAGGAGCGCATACCATGTTGAATTGATTATATAACTAGGAGTTTACTCATATAATCCAACGAGGGGCATAGTTAAGGACTCCAAAGAACAAGACTTTTTTGGTGGAAGGAGGGGCGAAGAGAGATTCAAATAGTAACCATTCATTCCTTGATAAAGATTTGCAAAGAAATATTACACAGAAGAAATTAGGCGCAACCTCTTCTAGAATTTTCAAAATTGTTATTGTATGTGTGTTTATTAAGAAGGATATACCAGTTTAGTTATAATTTCAAGTTTTATAGACTATGGAAGGACATTGTTACCTGAAACTATAGAGTATAGACAAATCCCCATATACAATTATGGATGGTTGTTAGGAGATCATGGAAAGAAGATAGTTGATGAATTAAGTTAAGGATGTGGAAACTTGGTTTTAAGAGCTCTGATGATTGTTCGTCTTACCGATGATTTGTACATAGAAACACCAGTTTAATACGTGAGCAGAGGCATAGGATTTCAGACATGAAAGTTCTCCCAAATCCAGGACATGGCTACATATATGTTTATTACTAGAAATTTGACACGTGCAAATGCACGTGACATAAAACATGTTTCTTACATTTTATTTATTTAAAAATATGAGAACTTGATTTATTCTTACTCAGAATTTCTTATGTAGTAGTATATATAGTAGTGTGAACATATGAATTTAACATTGGTTCTAAATTACATATATTTAAATTACTTATATTTACTTTTTTTTAATATTTATCACTTTCTTTTATACTTTTTATAAGAATATAAGTTATTAAACTTTGTAGTCGTGAGTCCTTTTTTAATGACATTGAGATGATATAGAATGTTCTAGAAGCAATAGAGAAGGGAAAAGAAAGAAGAAGAAATTAATTATCAATTTCTTGTAAAATTACAATTTTATCCTGACTCATACAATATTGGATTACCCCAACTTGGTTTTTTATATAGTAGTATAGATGTCTAACTCGTATAAAATGTGTTGGCCTTATTGGGCTATTTAAGTGTGAAATAAACTAATGTTGTTCAAGTGATCTACAGAACAATTAGTTTCTCTCTAAAGCATGCACACAGACAATGTGTTCATATGTGTATGCATCTCTCCTTAAGAAAAAAAATAGATCATTTTAACAAAATTACATTTGTTCTGTTAAGTAGCAGTTATCTGGGGGTGCATGAGGTATTATAGATATTACAGCTTCCTACCCCAACCGTAGATAAAGGAACAACAACAACCATCAACCTACTTATCGATATTGAGATAGAGGTTCAGAAGGTTGGGAGTCATGGTGATAGAGTAGGGAAATCTTTTCTGATACACCTTTTGAAGAGTTTGCCAGTGCATATACTGAATGGAATCTTTCAACTTGCTTCTGAAGGATGTTCGAGTGTTCTGCAGAGAGTTGCTACGGGGACCCAAAATATGGGACCAAGGGAGGGGACAGGTGAGTGTCCCCTCCCTATTGCATAATGAGCTGGCATGAGTTGGCATGGCCAACTCATTATGCAATAGGGAGGGGACACATCACCTGTCCCCTCCCTTGGTCCCACATTTTAGGTCCTTAAATCATTTTTCTTCTGCAGGCATAGAACTCATCCATCTCATGGACAAAGAGTGATGAGCTTTCATGTAGCCATTGAAGGAGAGTCTATGGTCCTTCAGAGATGAGATTATACCATGGGCTACTTGATGGATTCCATTGGTCAACTGATGGCTTCTGATCTTGGTAGGAATTAATGCTGAAGGAATGCTACTGATTTGGCACCTTAAATGTTATTAAAAGGGGTATGGGTGCAAGCCAGTTTTACAAAATGACAGCTTTCTACGGCTGCTGAGTGGAAGAGGAAATTGAGGAATGTTATAATCTTATTCTTACTGATCAGATACAGTTATGTCTTAAAAAATTTCAACCATGTGTGCAATCAATTCCTGCCAAAATCTGGTTCACAAAAATCTACTGCCTCATCAAAGTCCACTATGCTTATGTGGTCGCTTGAACATGCAATGTTGGCAAAGTGCATGATTATGCATCAAACAGAACTGCAGATTGTGCCGATGATGCAAATATTAACCTCTGTCAAAGATAACTGCAACAATAACCTATTTATGCTCAAATCAGATTCAGGGGAAAGTCTTATTGCATGAAGAAGATGATTTGCAAAGCATGGGTCATTTTGAAATGGAGAAAAGATTATGCATTATACTCATTGTCTGCGAGCAGGAAAATACTGTATCTAACAGTGTCAACCGATTATATAAGCAATAGGGAACAGATATAGAAAGACTCCACTCCAGGCAATTTAATGAACCCTCACCAAATATGTTAAAAGTGGGATTGTGAACATTACAAAACATGACCTCCCACGGGAAGGAGGAGTGGTCAGCAGCCACATGGGGAGCGACTCGGCTCCTAGGGATATTCCCCTGCTGGTCACGAGTTCGAAACCCGTCAGCAATTTCAACCGTTGTCCACGCTTAGGGAGGGGTGGAGACCGGGGTTTTACTCGGTTGGTTCAGCGAGGCCGCAGTCCGGTTCGGGTCCCCCACTCGGGATGCTTCCCTCGATCGGCATGGGGGGTGAGGGATTCGAACCAGGGGTGTCAGCCCCAAAGGGCTGAGTGCTTGGCTGGGCTAACCGAGGTTCCCCCGTCACCAAAAAAAAAAAAAAAAAAAAAAAAAAAAAAAAAAAAAAAAAAAAAAAAAACATTACAAAACATGGAGCAAGTAGATGAATTTCATGGTAAAGTATATACTTGGAATAAAATTCAGCCTTGTCAGGCTCGGTCTTCATGTTTAATTTTTGAAAATGTATGGTGCTCAGCAGAGTTGCACCTAAGCTTTGTATACCACATTCACAGCCTACAGATAAATACCTAACACCATTTTTAAGGGTTCTTGTTATGCATAGTTTTTGTGCTAATTAATGTAGGCTTCTTTGGCCATTCTAAAATTTTATTTGATATTTGTAAAATCATTATCTTCGGCCTGGGATTTTTGTGCTGATTCAATGTTGTCATTGTGGATATTTAATTATTTCTGCGGGAGGCTCCGTGATGTTGCAGACTGCACAGTGTGGCTCTTAAATCTCAACTGGAGATAGTTTACATAGTGAAGCAGCAGAAGTTGGAAGAAATGGAGTATGTGTATAAGAGCATCTCCAACAGCTTCCCCATTTTTTATTTTTGGAGAATTTAGTTAGGTTTTTGGCCCAACAGATTCTCCATCTCATTCCCCAAAATAGGGATGGAGGAGAAAAAATGGGGAAGCTTCCCCAAATCTGTAGCATTCTCCAAATTTTTGGAGGAAAAAAAAAGGGATTCTTCAAAATGGGGAAGCTGTTGGAGTTGATGTAAAAATTAGTTGGAGAATATGACTTTTGCTTCCCCATTTTGAAGAAAAATTTGGAGAAGCTGTTGGAGATGCTCTAATGAACCCTAAATACGGAGTTTTCATAAGTGATATGATGTGAAAAAAAGTTATTTGGAACAACAGTAAGGAATTGTGGGTAATGACTTTGAGGCGCTGGCCGGCAATAATATTAACTTGAGTCACTCTACATATAAAGCGAGAGATTGAAATTTGAAGATTTACGTATAGGATTCAGCCTTGTTCTTCAGATTTGTGGATGTTTAATACAGGGTTATATCATAAAGAGAGAAGCCTTTGATGACATTGGAACACTGAAGTGTAGAAGAGGAGGAAAAGTTCATAGAGAAGAACAAAACTTCTCCATGTAGCGATACTTTCGGTGATATAGTCTGGATCAGTAAACGACGCTACCTAGCAAGAGACAACACATCAACCACCAATATGCAACAATAATCCGTGTCGTCAACTTCTCCTAATACTTGGCTTTCAGGACATTCAATAGCTTCAAATTCAAGCAAGACGGTCAACATCATTTAAGGAAAAAAATATTAGAAAATTAATGCACAAAAACATCACATATTAACAGAAGTCGAGGGGAAAACTCCAAATATTATATCAAGGGCCTTCCGAAATTACCAACTCAACTGAGATCATCCAAAACAGTAATTTCCCATCGAGAAAGGATAAAGTTTCAGCATTCCCATAAGCGTATTACAGAGCTCAGTCTTTCACAGAATACCCACAAAAGCTTCTTTACAAAAAGTGCTTAATTTTCGAAGCACGCAAGGTTAGAAAAAAGTAACAAAATACGTGCACCTGTCTCCGACCCAGAGGTGCTGTTCATCTTACCTACATAGGGCTCGGCCTGGATATTCACACAAAACGGACCGAGCCACAAAAGCTAATGACCAAGGAATCAAAGGCTCTTGATTGTTAGCAGAAGACCATAATGATCACTAGGTAAAACAGGCAGTTCAAGCATTTTAACTTCTTTCCTTACTTTCTTCTCCTTGCAGTAATAAACCCCAGGTATAGCTTCCTTTCCTATCATCTCAATGCTGTCAATCTTAAAATCACTCAAGCTGCATAAGAATCGATCAAGTCTCTTCTGCAATGTACGATTGCCTGTCAACATTTGGTTGGACTTGGTATCATAAGTCCACCCATTTTCCTCAGCTCTCAGCTCAGTCCAAGCATCAACCCACCCATTATTTAATGGAAAGGCACCATCCAGCTTGTCATCCCAATTCATGTCACCACCAAAAATCACATTAGGAAATTGTTTGAGGATTCCAATAGATTCTTTTGCCTGTGTAACTCGTTCCTTGCTGTACATCTGATCCCATTTGGGAGGGCCAGGACATGGGCTCTCGAGGTGACTTGTAGCAACTACCAGCTTCTTGTTCTCTCCAATATCAATTTCTGCCATGCAGAGCTCTCTTCCCATTTTGGAGTTATCAAATGGCTTGCATCTGAATGATCTTACAGGCAATTTGCTCATCTGCAATGGTCAGATGAGATACATGTATTTATAGTTCTCTTTTGAGCAATAAAACAATGGAAAATGTCAGCTAAAACTTTGACGAAATGGTTAGCATATTATATCCTATCTCAAACTCTATGCATCATCTTCTATAATTAATTTGTCATGATCCCGAGAACACTAGTGACCACACAGGAAAACCTTTAAACACTATTTTTTGCTGGTAAAAATTTCAGACAAAAAAAAACAATTTAGAAATGAAAATGGGACATTAAATAAAAGCAGTCATCAAATCTATGCAGCAAACGATATGCAGTTGACGTCTATGTTTATAACCTATACATGAACGATGTCCATATGCTGACATAGAATTTTGGCACATGAAATGCATGTATGGTTGCAAAATAAATTGGAAGCAATTTAAAACTTACTGAAATTTAATTGTGGAAGGTGTGTACATGATGAAAAAGACGATATCATTAGTCTGAGAGTTGAAAAGGATCCATGAAGCATTTAATACGGTAAACCCTTATATTTTCTTGCTTAATGACACTATCACGTTTTTATTGTCTTCATGTACATTTAGGATCTTAGAGCCATTATCTGTAAATTGACATGAAAAAGGTTCTCAAGGCAAGTTGTATCAGTGCAGGCTTACAACTGCTCTATTTCCTCTTTGCTCTGATACAATAAATGGTGCTATTTCCTCGCCCATCCTAACAAGAAAACACTTCAAATTAATGACAGCTGACATGTTGTATCAGCAGCTTGCAAGCTTACCACATCTCGTACTTCTGAATTTCTTTTCATTAACATTAGTTCTTTAGAAATGCCAACTCCTACTTCATCTGTTGTGGACATTGTCAATTCCTTAAGCATGAATAAGTTTCCCAGGAAACTTTGAGAGAGCAAAAGCTTAATAAGATTAGTGTAACTAGGCTTATAACGTTCTACGAAGATGTTGGCTATACCGCCTCAGTATCTCATTCAACATTCAACAAGTCAGTCCTGAAACTAGGTCAACTAGCTCAATTCCCTAGTGGAACATCTTAGTTTTAGGCCATGCTTAGATAAGGCTTATGATGAATGATAGTCAGAAAAGCAAACACACAAGAATAACCTATGAAAGAAATACCTGAAACAAATTGCATTCAACCAAGCAACAGATGACCTACTTAGAACAATGTTTTTATCATTTTATTAAAATTAGGTTCTTTCATTCATGATAACAATGAAAGCATGCATTCGTATGAGTCAAATATACATATATCTGCATGAAACATACATAGTTACGTCATGTCTGAACTTCAAATGATTGTTGTGTCCAACACTGAATCCATGTCAGAGCACGTCACTCACGCTCATAACTACTAATGATAAGAAAACACCAATGGCAGACTAATATCTTTGAATAGAACACGGGAAACTCAGAAAGAACCTGCATGCAGAAATATGGCCTCATAGTTGCCACCTCCTGTGATACTGAACACTTGTACATTCTCCACCATTTTGATTTTTGAAAAATACCATAAATGTCTGGTGTGACCTCCTGCTTTATGACGAACATAATTACAGTTCAATCACTAGGTAGTAAATAGTCATAAAGAACAAACAATCAGACCTGAAAACAGATTAAATCTGGCAAATGCTGCTGAATAAGATCTCCAAGAGCTTTCATCCTCCTATGCAGTTCCAAGTCCTCTCGGAACCACACATTATAGCTTAAAATTTTTAGTCTGACATCATTTGAAATAGAATCAACATGTCCTGCACCATATATAAGCTTGGAATGATTAAAAGTAAAGAAGAAAAGAATATCTTAGCAATGAGCCAAAAAGAAATAACCATGAAGAATTTTGGAATTCAATTGTCCAAATGGAAGCATGGAGCATGTGTCAGTAGTTACTTTTTATCACACAACTCTACAGGATACCTGAAAAGATCATTAAATGTAAAAACTACTCCACAAATTCATATATCAATGGAAAGATTAATCCTTTTTAGGATTATTTACTATTTACTTTAAACAACTGCACGCAACTAATTCCCTTAGAAATCTTTACATGCCAGTTAATTAGAATATTAAAAAGATTTTAAAAAAGTGAAAGCTTTACATGATAGAAGCTTCTAACTTGCAAGATAATCAATCAAGTTTAATTTGATTTTCTGTATGCTTTATCCAACAAAAGAAATCAATCGGCCATGGTTTAACCTAAGTTGCCTAGAAACAGATGCCAGTGTGGGGCACGGCAAATTTGTAAAATGTAGGGTAAGGGGACACGACTCGTCAACTGAATATATGTATCAACATTAATAATTTTACATTAGATCAATATTATTTTCAGTTGTGTATTATTAGAATTAAAATTCCTATCATAATTTTAAAGTTCTTTCATTATGTTGATTATTAAATTGGAAGCTACTCATTTTCTAACTAGACACTCAAACAACTTTTTTAAATCCTAGTTTTGAACTTGGATAGGGCTGAAACAAAGCCTATCTACGTCTGATGAGTTTCAAGAATGAATATGAAGTGTAGGATATACTTCCAATAAGAGTATGATGAATGTTTTAAATTAGAACTTATACCATATAATTGAGTATAGGTCTAAATAACCATATGCATATATCTAAGGAGTGCTGGGTACAGGAACATGTCAGTACTTGTCAGGTACGGGTACGACTTCATGGTAGAAAGTAGAAAGTACCCGACTAAAACAGGGTTTAACAATGGCAGTCAAAATTGCAATATAACTCCTAAAATTCTAATCCGTCTCTACCATGTGCGTCATTATTTTATTTTATTTCATTTTTTGCCTCATTTAGTGTTAAGTTGTTTAAGTATGGATGGGAATGCTCAAATTAACTGACAGTGAAAACATAGAAAAAAAATCAATATTCTTAGCTCCACTAGGTAATCATCTTCAAGACTTGACAGCTTAATGTATGAGGATTCTTCAATCCAATGTCTCAAGACATTAGATAATGTAATGCTTAGAATAGTTAATTATGACATGTAAATCATGTCGAATAATATTATTAAGATTTTTGTTTTCTATACCATCATATCTAAGATGGGCCAGCTGGCTATTATGGTTATGAGTTAATCTCAATCTTGACATATTGTTACATAGGTAACAAACCCCTTTATGGTTAAAAGTATACACCAGCTATAACAAATATGGAACAAGGGCTAACCCTCGATTTACAAATATTCACCAAGACAAACCCTCTTGTCCATGACCCTAACATTCAGGTTTGTAGATAATTTCATATGTGGCAGACACTAGTGAAACATAAGTGCAAGCATCCGTATTTCTAAAATAAATGAATCTTCCTTGCAAAAACAAAGCTGAACAGGGATTATTTCGTAGAAACATTGCAGCATTACGATGTATACTATTTACTACTATAGTCAAAAAAGATATCAATATTTTTGTTGTAACAATATGGAAAGGACAAACCTCGCAAGAGTTAACCACATTGATTTAAAAGTTAACTTGGGCACACTTCTTAGCTATCTAATGTATGGCTTTACCCTAAGAAGAGAAAGGAAAAATACAATATGAAAACTTCCCCTAATAGGAGATAGAGAAATTACATATGCTAGGCTGAGAAAGTTCAACTTGCTCATGTCACTTGTAGCTGCACAACTACGAAAATGAATCATATCACCCCTCACAGAAATACGTAAAATGCATTAATTAAAGAATATCCATGCTCCTATCATACTTTCATAATGCCATGAACCAGTTGAATTTATCCTCCATAAGGTCTTTACATGTCCCTATGCTAATACAAGAGTACCAGGCTTGAAGTTCGAACCCTCTTCCATGTGCTCACATACCTCTAAAATGTCTTACAGTATTTATGTACTGTTTATTTGCAAATAGTGATAACCCACCACTTTAAAATACGTTAGCAAGGAAACGCATACCATGATTACCATCTCAACTTCCTCGGAAGGGGAAAAAACAATTATCTACTCTTACAACGATAAATCTGTAATCAAGAAGTTGCATTCTACTCAGTAACCGCATACTTTTTTCTAATTTCATAAAAAAAATTTAAGCCCAAAGTTTTGATTTGATTTCTTATAAACCCACCTACTGCCAAAACCGTTCATGAAACCAAAATAGCCATACTGTAGTTGGCTTCTTAAACCAAAATATAGCTAATGAGTACTGACACACCAAATACGACAACTTAAACCCAAATATAGCTACTCAACAGAAACTGCGCTTAAAAATAACTAAGTATGAGTCTATGAATGATTTTTGAAGTGGTTGTTTAAAAATAAATCAGTGTAAACTTTGATTTTAGAAACAAATATATAATAAAGCCCCAAAAGATGGTACCTTGATAGCATCCCACAATTTAATGGATCAAGAATGTAAATCACAAACCCTAAAAACGACCCAAAAGATCAAGAAACCTCACCTGACCCCGCAGAAGGTTCGACGACATCCTCCACCTCCTTCTTTCTCGACTTCCCCTCTTGTCTCTCCGCCTCCGCCGCCGGCGCCGCTCTCTTAGTTTCACATCGCCTGAGGGGAAAGAACACCGACCCGATCGAAGGATCCGAGATCTCATCAGGCTCAAGATCCACCGAGCTCGGCGCCGAAGAGTAGCTCCTTGTTCCGCACATCTCGCAGCTGTCGCTGGAGTTAGGGTTTGAGAAGGTGCAAGCGGTGCAGGGCCAGCAATGGGGAGAGGAGGAAGAGGGGGCCGAGGTTAGGGTTAGGGTTTCGGGAGGAGAGAGGCAGATTTTGCAGGAGAGTTTTTGGGAGGGGGAGTTGATGTAGGTGCATTTGGAGCACGGCCAAGATGACATTTTTGGAGGAGGGAGGAGGTTTGATTTGAGGGGTAGTTTAGGAGTTGAGAGAGCGCGGATTTGAAAGGGCGGAAGGGGAAGGGCTGAGAATATAGAGATCATAATGATTTGGGGCAACCTGTGTTGGGCTTAACTTAACCCTCTTATTATTGGGTTTATCCAAAGTACAAATTGAGCCCGGAGTGAAGCCATAACAAATCCAGCCCAGCCTTAGGGGCTGCTCGGTTCGATTTTCAAAAAAAAATGAGAAGGAGAAGTTGTGAAAAATCAATTATTATATGTTCCTATAAAATTTGTAGGAAAAGTTTCATAGAATCTCAAAAAGTGGTGTTTTCTTATTTTTAACTCTTTCTAAATTTGGTTCAAAGTATGAAAAAGAAGGAAACCAACTTTATAGAAAATCAAAAGTGAGAGAAGGAGAGGGGGTGATATTTTTTTAATAAGATAAATAGAATGCGTGAGATGTCCTCCCAACAAGAAAGAATGTGGGTTTATAAAATCGCCACTTTTTATCTACTTTATAGAAATCCTTTCTATAAAAATTTGGTGTAAGGAAATCTTTAGAAACCATTTAATTATCAAAGTGCCACTATTAGATAGTTTCTAAAAAAATCCACAAATTTGACGAACCAAACAGCCCCTAAATGAAAATGAACTCGTCATTTTGAGACGGGTTTAGCTCTCTCTCTCTCTCTCTCTCTTTCTGATTTTGTTCTTTCATTTTTGCTTTCATACAACAGTTGACAACCCAAGTATATAATGGGTTACCAAGTCACAGACTTATGTGGCTCCATTGTGCATGTGATGACGAATTTACACAAGTGGGTGTTTGGGGCATGTGCCTCAATGGGGGGTTGTAGAGACCATCATAAAAATAAAATAATTATACATAAAATATTTTTTATTTTTCAATATCACTTTTAAAGTAGACTAGCTTTTATGTACGTGCATTGCACATGATTAAATATTATAATTATTCATTTTTAGTTTATTTCCTTACTAAAATTTGTTCTTCGATTTCAATTTGATAGTTTTTGCTCACTTATGTATCTAAAATTTAATATTATGATTATTTATCTTCTTTAATGTTTGTTTGAATGAGTTGTACCCTATTTTAAGTTTCATGTTAATAATTGAATTGACACGAAACCAACATGAAACCAATTTGAATATTCCTGTTATTTGAATCAACATGAAACGAAGCTTTACCTAAGGAAGTATAGTATTGTAAAAGTAAAAAATACTTAAAAATAGCATTATAATAGCAAAAGGAATAATTAAAGACAATAAGCCTAAACAATTGATAAGAAGTGGCTAAAATGGCACAAAATAGAATATGAATTTTATTCCTAATCATTAATAGACTTCATTAAAAATCATAAACTAAATATTAATGCTAACTTTAGTATAATTTTATATGATAAAAGCATTCACAAAATAAGTATCTAAAAATATTTAAAAAATCATGTAAATCTCTTCAAATATTCCTAATTTTACTCAAAAATTTAGGCTATTATATAAAATATTAGGAAAATTTTGTCTTTTATTCTTTTTTTTTCTTTTTTATTGAGCCGAGATCAAGTCTTCTTCACTTTTGTCTTTTTCTAGGGGTAATTCTAGAGTGGTGTCTTCATCATGTACGTCGATTATGATATTAGGCTGGACCTAAACTTCTCGTGCTATTATCTTTTTCTGGGCACATTTATCTTTTATCTTCTTACCTAACTTTACAAGTAATTTGAATGAGAACAAATGTTAATAAGAACAAATATTAATTTTATATATATGACACTTTTTTGTGTTTCTAATTCATTGCTTAAGTTAAGTTAGGATGGACCTTTTTTACAATGAATTTCTTGTATTGTGTACATAATAAGAGTTTCTATTGCGTCAAACAGTATTACCTTTGCCATGCTCTAAGTCATCAAAGATTCTGTAACGTTTATCATTTGGACACTCGTTAATAACATCTATATCCACCTTCTTGTTGCGGCCTTTGCAAACGTAAAACCACAACTCAAGTCTATTATATCTGGTAGTTATCTTTGTCTTAAAAGTGCAATAGCATATTTGTATATTGGTAAATTTTAATTAGTTTTAATTGTGTGAATTATTTAAGATCATATCTCCTTCAAATATTGTGATGCCTGCATAATATCGCTAAGTTAAATGTTTGTTGCATTTGTAAAGAGCTTTGATGAAGCTGCTTTTGTCTTGATAGCTTATTCTGAATGAGCCTTGCATATTAACTTTAAAATGTAATATTTATTATTTATTGTGTTATATGGATGTTTGCTTGGTTTATTTATCATTCTCTTATTTATTTAGTTAGTTAAATCTCTCTCTCTCTCTCTCTCTCTCTCTCTCTCTCTCTCTCTCTCTCTCTCTCTCTGTGTGTGTGTGTGTGTGTGTGTGTGTGTGTGTGTGTGTGTATTTGCGATGATGTGCATATCTCCCCAGTAAATTTGAGATGGATATAAGGCGAACTTTGTGTTTAGTGGTCTTTAATAAGAATTTTTGTAATGAAATATATTATCTTCATATTTAGAGATCATGAAATCTAATAATGCTATTATGGGCTTATCTTTGATCATATCGTAAAGAATTAATCCTTTTTTCATAGACATGTTTCCAAATAAAGGTATACGTAGAGCCATGTCGCTGTATAGTAAAAAAAATATCGATTTTAATTTTTTTTTCTTAAGCTATGATAAGTAAGTATCATGTATATATATATTTTCTCCACTATAGTGATTTTTCACATTGTGTCTCGCTTGTTAAGTAAGTATTATGTGGATACCTTTTGTTAATTATAGCATTTTCCTCCTCTTGCCTGCTTTGTTATATCTCGTAATATAGTTGATTAATTGCTTCACATTAGTTTCTATTGTAAGATCATCTATATCGAATTATATAATAAGTTTATGATTCCTTTAGTATTTGAAGAATAAAATATAAAATTTCAAAAGACTTACTTGTTATGCGCAGCGAAAATTTCGGCAGAGTTTCTGGTGCACAATAAGAGAGAAAAATCAATAGAATTCCCGTCTTACCAAGGAAACAAGAATCTGAAGCGAATATCTCAACAAAGTGAGATATTGGCTCTTCCTCTCATCAGTTCTAGGACTGACTTGTCGAGGGATCCTAAAAACTATTACAATGGCTACAAACACAAACAAACCAATTTTACGTGGTTCGGCAAACTACCTACGTCCACGGGTCAAGGAGGGGGGAGATCTACTATTAGAGGGAGAGATACAACTAGGGTTTACAATCTCACAATTAAAACCCTCAAACAAATACTCTCAAACCTCTCACAAAAGGACTCTCTCAAAACAGCCAAAAAAACATCTATTTCTCCTATTGCACGCACCCCAAGACCTTGCCAAAGCCTTGCACGCCGCCAAATAAAGGAGTCTCTGTTCTTTTGCACTGCTGCAGCTTCTTTTCTTCCCCTCTGCGCAAAACATGAGACAGCCACCTCTCTCTCTCTCAGCCGACTTTCCTCCCTCTCTCTGCACTTTTTCACCAAGCCGCTGCACCCCTCACTTCGCACACCTAAAACCCTAGAAGATAGCAAGCTATATATAGCTACAGTACGTGGGCCTGCAGGAGAAAACGCGTGCGTGGGGTAACATCCAGCGGTTAAAGCATGTCTCTTAAATCTCTTCATGTGGTTGCTGCTAGCCTTTCACGCGTCATCATCAATGCATGTGGTCTCCACTTGCCACATCAACTCACACCCTCATCTTTTGCCCGCTGGACAACTCACAACTTCCACATTACTAATATTTCTTGTATCTTCTATGAAAATGCTTCTTTGATTGGAAAAAGTTGTTTAATATGTTCTCCAATGGGATATCAGTTGGCGCTTCTTTGATATATATGTCTCTTATTAATATCAATTCAAGTAATTCATGTAAATTTATAAATTTTGGGTTAATTTCTTTTACTTTTCTATTTAAAATGAAAACAACTAGATCATTTTGAAGGATATCTCTGAACTTTTTAATAGTTTCTCCATGTATAACTTATTGTATTTTTTTACCATGTGAATATTATTAACATCAGAGTATTTTTTTTACCCTATGAATATTACAAACATTAGAGAATAGTATTTATAAAATATAATCAATAATGCTAAGCTATTATATTATTGTCTTTTATTAATTTTAAGTGATTTATTATTCTATTAATTAATGCTACCTCTGTATTTTTTATACTCCAACTTATGAGTAAAATTATATGCAATTACTTTTATTTAGACAATGATATTAAAATTTAATTTTGTAGGCTGTCTACAAAGCACTAAATATAGCTGATTCCCATCAAACACCGATGATAAAAATTACAATTTGACGGTTTTTAAGGAGCTAAGACGAAGATTATAAGATAACGATCTTTACAACATTTTAGCAAAAGAGACTACAAATTAATAGTCTCTTCAAATCAAGACGCAGAGCTCACCTCTGCGTCCCAGATTCAAAACGTAGAGATCCTCCTTACATTGCAACATCAAAATGTAGAGGTCCTCCCTGTGTTGCAACATCAAAACGACGGGGTCAGACCCACGTTTTTTGCATTTGGCTAGTTCAAATAGAACCTGAACGGTTTCAAAATCGTATCTCCACTTAATGCGGTCGGTTACACCCTATTATGAAAAGATTTTAGGGGGTGATTACACCCCTTAAACCCTTGAACGGTTTCAAAATTGTTTTTCACAAAATGGGGTCGGTTATATCCCATTAAGGAGAGATTTTAGGGGGCGATTACACCCCTAAAACCCCTATAAATGGCAAAAAACTCAGCTGAGTTTGGAAAATGTTTTGGAGATCAAAAAATATAAAATAAGATCGACATTCATCCTTAGAGAGTTTTCATCATCAGCAAACAGAGATCTTGGAGCTTAGATCTTGGCTTACAAACCGAATTTTGGTTTTCAAATCAACTCTTTCACAGAGTTTAAAAAACTCGCACTGAGTTATAAAACTCGTTAAGAGTTCTTTTCATATTTTCCACGCAAGTTCCACCAACCGTTCCGGTGAAGTGAGACGTTTGGATCGTCAACGAGAAGCAAACTCGATACGAACATCGAGGGAGACATCTCATTGCTACCGTGAAGAACCCAGTTTT